AGCCTTTGCCCTTTTGAATTCTAGCTCTTTTTTGAATTCACCGACCTTTGTATCTACGAACCGTCTCCAAACCCTACGAGGCAAAGAAAATTAAATGAACAAGAGAGTTATTAGTTACTTGATATTAGGAAATGAACGAAATAGGCCGATCGATATAGAGCGCAAATGAATGAAAATAATTACTTCTGCAGCATTCTTCTCATGTCGACCCAAAGCTTTGGATCCTTATTCAGAGAGTCGTGGACGAGACATTCTGAGGTGTCAACTTTAATTACTAGCAGAATCCAGTGGAACCTGCGGACACGATACATGCACAGTACGTCATGCATAACTCATCGATTAGCCGGCCACATACCATGCATGGAGTAAACAAAAGAGAATGTGCTCAAGACAGAAACACTCACCCAAAATGGTAAGGAAATAGAATATCACTTTTGAGTTCCTGCTTTTGTCAAACACCTTGTGTGCATAAGAGGAACCAAAAGCAAACCTACACCCCCTTGTGAAGAGAAGTGGCACCAAATGGCTAAGTGAGTGCGCTGAACTGGTATATATAGGGGAGGAGCTTTAGTCGCGGTTGGCCAGGCCAACCGCGACTAAAGGCCTTTGGGCACCTTTAGTCGCGGTTGGCCTGCCCAACCGCGACTAAAGCCCCTCACGTGCACCAGCTGGCCACCGAGCGCCCTGGCCCAAGCCTTTGGTCGCGGTTCGTCTGCCGAACCGCGACTAAAGACTTCATTAGTCGCGGTTCCTACAGTCTCGCGACTAATGGGGCTGGACGGAAGCCTCTTTTTCTACTAGTGTAGTAAAACTGGGGTGATATTTGGAAGCAATATCTTCAGGTAAATAAATCTATTCAAGTGATTAGAGATTTATAAGCTGCTAGATGTAGTGCTTTTATAGCTAGCAAGGGGAACTCTGACAATGTGCCTATGAATTTCGACTCTTTCTATGCCCTGTTTCTAAATATCTGTGGAATGTAGTTAGTGCACAATGAATATTCAAGCCATTCCCACCTCCTTTAACTGTCCGTGCAGTTGGATTCTGAAGTTTATTGGAGATGTTAGAAATCTGATGGCTGTTGGAGATGTTGCTTTAATTTGGACTGTATGGGAATCTACAAATGCTCTCTTTAGAATATTTTTCCTACTGATACTACTATGTGTTTTTAATTGTTACATTGGTTATCGTCATTGGCTGGTTTGCAGAAACGATGCCTACAAAACAAACAGCGCCTGGGCTAGCGGTTGCTGTCTCTGATGGAAATTGAGGTTTTCCATCGAAGAAGTGGATGGGGGCCACTGGTGCCTCTAGCAGATCCATTGTTGTTTTGTATGTAGTACGTGTGTTTGCAAGCTTGGTCAATCTCGCTCCGGAGTCCGGACAGCACTTACGTTTGCTTCGAGTATCAGGTTGGCATTTGGTGTTTCAAGTAGCCGTCGTTTCTATTGCTTCGGAAACTGGTCTGTCTTTTTATCCCCTGGCATGTTTACATGCTACTCCCTCCGTAATGAAATATAAAAGCGTTTAGATCACTATTTTCTACTTTAGTGATCTAAACGCTCTTATATTTGTTTACAGAGAGAGTAATGGTGAATCCCCATGTGCTGCCGCTTGCGACAATGCCATACCAGACTGATATGGCTGTGGTGAAGACGGCGAAGTGCTTCGAATAAGCTTTTCCTTCCAAGTTTTTACTTGTACCGCAACACAAGTTTACTTTCATGCATGTCGATTTGGTGGCTTTCTGCTGTGACAGAGTTCACCATGTATGTTGTTGGATATGTATTTGGTGCCGGTTAACTTTCGACATCTGTTCCAAAAAAACTTAATAATCATCCTTCATCCAGTTACAAGACCATATGATGTTTATTTTGCTGGCAATAATATATGTTCTTGCATTTTGCGGAGAGCTTTTCTTTTTTGCTTTCTTTCAAATAATTTGATTTCCCACGCTGGTATGCGATCATTGCCATGGTTTCTTCCTTGTTAATAACTTCATGGTCATGCTGGTATACGATTAGTTTGCATGAAACTAAGGCTAAAGAAAGGAATGGTTCAAGAGAAAACGGCTTGGTTCTAGTTTGTGCTGACCTGTCAGAACTCAGACAGAACCTATGTGCTGGTCACCGGCCGGAGATGTTTGGCGCTCCTGACAGAGTTTCCACGCGCACCGGTTTCCATCAGAGTTTCGGCGGCGCGCACACCGGCTTCTCCCACCTTGCTGACACGTCGCTCAGACCTGTCTTGTATGCAAAATTGCAAATGAGGAGCTCTGACGACGACAAGCAAGAAACCATGTTGAAATTCCTGCAGTAATGGGACTGAACCGTACCTGCAACACACTAATTGCTCGCCATTGTGCAGACTTGAGTCCCTTGGCGACAATCTGAGGAGCGATCCGGTATGGCCCCTGGCTGAATCTCTGGCCTGTTGGTAATTCCAGGGTAGGGTTAATCGCCGAGCAAACGTAGTGGAATTGGTACAGGACGAAATAGATAGGAGTACCTAAATCATCATCGGCGTCCAAGAAACAGCCGTGGAGGGGGCGGGGGCTGAAGGTCGCCACGGGCTTGCGGAGGTCGCCGTGCCGGCGGGGATAGGCCAGAGGTGGAGGGAGATTGCTGAGGGGATGGGCTCGATTCCGATGGGGGAGACATTTCGGGAGAAGATTTGGAGAGAGGTCGTGGTCAGCCGGGGAGCGCCGCCGCCGGCGGAGGAGGCCGGAGGCGCCACCGCCGACGCGGCTTCAGCCGCCGGTTCGGACGAAGGGCAAGGGGTGAGCTGAGGGTCTCCTCGACCTCCTCGATGGATCGCGGAGCAGCGCGGTGGTGGTTGGCCGCGGATGGGCGGCGCCGCCGATGGTTAGCCGCGTCCAATCCGGCTAGTGCATCCAAAGGGGAGGGAAGAGAGGGAAGCAAATGACAGGTGGGCCCATGTCCTGGCCTAGGACAAAATCAAGGTCAACACTGGTCAAACTGGGGAAAGGGTAGCAATAGTGAGGGGTCTTTTTGGAATGACCAATCGTAATTTTAACTTTCGGTAAATTTAACCACCAGTCGACTGGTGGTTTGCAATAGGCGCGTACAATCGCTCCCGCCCGCATGCTTCGCTCCCTTTCCTTTTTTTTCCTTGAGCGCTAAAAAGACGCACCAGTGGGGATCAAACCCAACCCGGCTGGTATTTGTTTGAAGCGAACAACCAACTCACCAAAACTCAATTGATGTCCTGTAAATGAAAATTAACTATGTGACCTTTCTACCTCCTGCATGTTGGCCATTGGTCCCCCACCCCCCTCTCCATGTGAATGCAAGTGTTGTCTCCCTCCCCATGTGACAGACTGCCTGGTTGTAGAGTGAGAGAGAGAGAGAGACGTGAGAGATGGATGAGATGATATGACCTTTTTCAGGGATACACCATACATGCATGTTTGCATGGTACTGCATGAGCTGGCCTTTTTTATGTGGGCATGCATGCATGTCGTATGCGGCTCCATGAGCCCATGCACAGGTAAGTCATTTTTCTCTATGTGCAGATGGATAACCAGGGCCATTTAATAAGGCTAATTACTACGTGTTTTGGTCTTTGGAACCAATAAAATGGGATGAATAAAGTACTAGTCATAGTTTTTTGTACATGGCAACTCCAACCAGGAAACACAAATCTTGTCCTTTTTGTTTGCGTTTTGTATATTTGGGTCACTAAAATGAAGACCGGACCGACGTACGCGTCCGGACAGAGCCATTAAACCCAACGGTGCTGCTCCAGCTGGTGAGAAGTCCGTCCCGGCATTTCACTGAACACCAAGTGGGGGCGGGACCTCCCAAGGCAAAGGGCGGCGATAACTTATGTGCCTCGGTGCTGATAACTTCGGCGAGGGGGTGATAAAATGTACCCATGACAACTTTAATGTTAATAGCATGGTAACTCACTCATCGCAAACCTGATAACTTATGTACCCCGGTCCTGGTAACTTTGCTGCCGGTGAGGGGCGGGGGAGTGCTGGGGTGGTTGATGAAATATACCACCGTTAACTTTTATGTGAATAGCATGATAACTCACGCGTCATACACCTGA